GTGTGTGTGGATTACTTGTGGATTATTGTGATGTTTTTATAAGCTGTTTGGACTCTCATTCTGACGGCACCCATTCACTGCAGAGCATCCATTGCTGAGACACTGATGCTATGCTACATTTCTCCAAATCTGATGAAGAAACAAACTGATCTACAGCTTGGTTGGCCTGAGGGTGAGGACATTTTCAGCAAATCTTCATTTTTGGGTGAACTAAGCCAGCTTGAGTACGGGTGCATACTGGGAGGCTTTTGAAAAAGTATTGAAGGAGTTCACTCATTTTAAGATCACAAGAAACATAAATTCAATCAAGTATGTCCAATATTTATACTAGTAGTACATACCAAATTCAAGGATCAGCCATATTGATCTAAAAATCTGCATGTTTTTGATAATTATTTACTGGGGCTCCAGAAAATTTTCATGCCCTGTTTGATTCCAAGTAGGCAAAAATTCAGGGAGGAGTCATTGCACAATAAAATATATTTTTCTTTTTAAATTTAATATAATGGAAATTAATTTGGAGATATCTAGAGCATGAGTAGTGATTCTAAATATGACACTTGTTTATTCCACATATCTAATTTTCTGCTCTATAGCACCATCAACAGTCCAATGCATGTGATTTTTTTATCCTATGAGTAGTGTTCAACATTTTGACACTTGTTTTTAAAAAAAAAAAATTTTTTAATCCAAAGCAGCTTATATTCCGTTCAATTTATACATCAATTAATGGCAAAATTCCCAGGAAACTGAACTTTGATATGTCTAGAACCATGTTTACTGGTCATTTTTTTGTAACTTTTCATTGCAAAACATTGGGCTTTTCTGTCTCTACGAACAGTCATTATTTTAGAAATGAAGCTTTACATCTCAGCTTTAAATGTGTGATGTGTGTGTGTGTGTGTGTGCATCTACTGTACCTCTCCAGAGATTTGGCAATGGCTTCATATGCTCTTCCCAGGCTGTCTGCATTTTCAAGTATTGTGGAGATCTCCATACATACGCTGAAAAACTGGCACAAGCAACAAAAACCTCAAAGAACAAATAATTACAGAATGAACGAGCAGAGTTTGGGAGCGCTCTGAACAGACCTGTTTAGCAGTCTTCTGGTCTCCAGTGCTCTGATACGCCAGGCCCAGTCTATAGGCTGCTTCTCCTTCTGACCCTCGATCTTCCGCTAGACGACAGATCAAAAACCAACAACAGGAAGAGTCATTAAACTGTAAAAACTGTGCTTTAGGGGTTGTGTGGTTTTACTGCTGGAAATCTGACGTGGAAGTTCCTTCTGCTGCCCTAATGTTATTCATGGAATGCACAACTGGCCAAGCGTTTGAAAATCTGATCATAAACGGGTTGTATTGCCAGTATAAATGTATAAGATGTCAATCTTATTGTCATTATATGACAATAAGATAATTAGTAATACTTTATAATAAGCATGCATTAACAAAGCACTTAGAAATCATTTGCTAACTATTAGTTATTAGTAATTAATAGTTTATAAATTGTAGTTAATCAGTAGTGTGTTTAGGCACCACGCAACCCACACAATTATGTGAAGGCGATTTCTATCCCCTAAACCTACCCCTAATCACATGATCTAATGAGTATTTGTATTTCATGTTGACAGCATTGTTATAATATGTTGTGTTATGTTATGGTATCGATTTACTTTTAAGTGTTTTGGGGATAGGCTTAATGTATTTGTAAACATTTTAATGAACTCTTAATACGAATGCAATTAATGTGCAATAATAGTTGTTTTAAAGCACTTACTTAATGACATTTTCCAATTTTCCATGACCTAATCTAAAGTGAGAACTATTTACAGATTGTCAACAAAGCATTATCTAACTCTTTACATAAGAACTAATTAAACAACAACACTTAATTACTGACAAAGAATGAAGTTTGTATAGAGTCTATTAATAGATTAATTACAGTTTATAAACTATTAATTAACTATAAACTAATAGTTTGCAAGCACTTTATTACTATGTACTTTTTAAAAAATATATACCTGAATTATATTGAATAGGAAAAGTCTAATTTCTCCTCCACCTTGCCTACTCTTGACTAAACTTTACTTCATTCAAATTCAAAGGTATATTTTACTAAGCTTTGTCATGTAGCTGGGCACGCTGCATGTATCTCTGCTTATGTCACGTCAAATCACTGTCAGTGTGAACAGAGTGTGCATACACTCTTTAGCCATCTGGTAGGCCTTGTTGAACATCTTAATGGCATGTGTGTAGTCTTGTTCCTGAAGCAATCTCTGTCCCAGCAGCGTGAACAGCTTCTGGAGCTCCTCACATGAGCGTGAGTGATGCATGCGGCCGCTGGGGTCCTGCCATGTACGGCCCATGGTCAGGTGATAAAACACCTCATAATGCTCTTGTGCTCGCTCCAGCTGACCTGCAACACACACGCACAGCATCTCTACATTCAACCATTCATTTTTTTTTGGGTTTGGGTGAATTTTACAAAATAGGGTCATATTTTTCTCCCCACAATTTAAAAGAAACACTGATTTGAATTTAAATTGATTTGAATTGAGAATGTCTTTTAAATTCCAATTCAATTTAGTCGAATTGATCTAAATTTGAATTGAGGTAGAATCTGAATGTAAAGAGGCAGATTGAATGGCTGTCGTATACTGTATTGAAGGACTGTGTATGTATGTTACCCTTCTCTAAATAAACTTGGCCCATGTGTAGGTTGGCCTCAGCCTCTCTTTTGCCAGAGTCCATCTTGAATTTGCGAGCTGAATGGAGGGCCAGCTGAATGAAATGATGCTTTAACCATTTGTCCTCCGGCTCGGTGAAAAACCTGGCCAAGAACATGTGGTTGTCATACGCCTCTCCATACTGTCCTACAGCAGGAAACAAAGAGATGCAGAGCATTGATATAATATCAATCTCAAGGTTTAGGGGAACAGAGCTAATGTACATGTACTGATGAACTGTAATTTATTTAGATAAGCATGTACATGATGAGGATCCAGTATATTACTTTAGCAACAATAGTAACAACTATTACATACTGTTTAATTGTTGTAACAACTGTTTTAAAGTTGGAAAGTCGGTTAAGGGAATAAGAAAACAAGTAGTTAGAATAGAAAAAGAATAGAGAAGGGTACATTTTTTTAATAAATAAAAAGAAAAATAGTAGATTGAATAGAAATAGAACAGAGAGTGCTAAAAAAACAGGTGGATAAAGTACATCTGATATGATTGAATACCCCCTTTAAGTCATTAACCCTAAATCAAATGTTTTTTTTGTTTTTTATTATGCATCTTAACAGTTTAATACACATTCATTTGTAATTAATACAGACACTAAAAAAATCAAATCACAGAATCAGACTCATAAATAAGCTACAGCTATGTATTATTACTTTTAAAATATAGAAGCGATGGACGTCTGTATAAGTTCAGAATAAATGTACTTAAATATAGGCTATGGTGACAAAGATTTTGTTTTTATCTTTATTACAAATTACATAACATTAACAACAGCCCATCGTCCCAATCTACACTGTAAGGAATCAAATAACAGAAAATGCACTGGCAACTCATTATCAGGACATTATCTAATTTTATGAACATTTGCATTAACCCTAAAGCTGATGATACACGGGGGAACTTTTTTGAGCAACATTACTTGGGCACTTTCCCATTGAGAATGGGTAACACATTTCTATCTGGATACTTTAAATCGGTCGTGGGCCCTGTGTCTCTCACCTGGTTGCCCATTGACGGCAACATTGCACAAAGTTGCCCTGTGTATAATCCGCCTAGAACAATGCAATGAACAGTGTTGGGGGTAATGCATTACAAGTAACGCGAGTTACGTAATCAGATTACTTTTTTAAAGTAACTAGTAAAGTAATGCATTACTTTTTCATTTAGAAGGAAATATCTGAGTTACTTTTTCAAATAAGTAACTCCAGTTACTTTGTTTTCATATCTTGACTGACAGCTCTGGTGTTGCCATGTTGAGAGAAATCGGGAGTAAGTGCAGAGCGTTGTGTGTGAACATGATCTTACTGTAGTTCTAGTCTAAATATGAACATGTGTTTCTCACCTGCACAAAAACACATTCAGTATTCCTCAAAATGAATAAAAACAGTCAAATGCAAACTCAGAATATTATACAAACCTGCAATAATTAAATACTGTATGTTAAATAAGACAAATATCATTTATGTATTTACATTTTACCAGTTTTTACCATACTTTCAAAACAAAAATTAAAATAGGAAAAATATGCAATATGAAAATAATTGAAGACAAAATGTGTTTTACTGAGAAAAAACAAGATTTGGTTTTTAAAAAGCCTTTTTCCAAAAGGTACATCTGGAAAAAGGGGGGTCGTCTTATATTCGGGCCAATACGGTAGTTACTTTTTTTAGGGAGTAAGGCAATATTGTAATGCATTACTTTTAAAAGTAACTTTTCCAAACACTGGCAATGAAGTGTAAATTTCAAAATACAGATACAACAACTGTAAAAATACATAAAATAAGCATGGGGAATCCCTTCAAATGAATACAGTACATCGTGCCCCAATTATACGATTTGTTTAGAGTGTAAATATGAATTTCTGTGGCGTTACCGTGTCTCTCGGCGGTCTCTGCGGAGGTGAGGCGCTGCTGGAGTGTGTGCAGCTCGTGCGGATCCGCTGCGTCCCAGCGCTGCAGCAGCGAGAACATCTGCGCAAACGAGCGAGGAAAGCCCTCGCGCAGCAGAGCCACGCACACACTCTGACGCAGAGGCTCCGTGAACCTCCAGAGACACGGCACAAGATGGTTAGCATAACAGTCATCTCACAAACTAAAACATCGATGTGTTTAGAACCACTAACGTTATAAATCTTACTCGGTGGGGATCTGCGTTTTCTCTGCAGCTGGATGGACGGGATTCTCCTTCATCCATTCCGGGCTGGACCTAAACTTAATCAAAAACAGTCTGGAAATTGTTGGAAGGCAAAATGTTTCCGTTTTAGCGTTGATAAGCAGAGCTTACTTAGACGTCGGTGTTGTCCTGTGTTTATGTGGATTGTAGATGTCTGGGAGGAGAGGAGTCCTCGATCCACTCACCAATGCTGAAGACATGCTGCTGATTAGCAAACATTTGTAAAAAGGTAAAATAAGTTACATTTGAGTTAACAACAACAAATGTGTGACAACGACTTATTTTAAACAGACACGAGGAAGTTTATTAAGTGCCCACAAACGAGTAGCTGCGAATTAAGTTACCTGTTTTGTCAGATTTGTGGCTCTTCTGTATCTTGCTAACGTTGACAGAATGGAGTTCCGTTGCCACAGCGACCAAACCGCTCACTTCCGCTCAACTCTCTCGATCTTCAGTCTATCAGTCTGTTATATTGTACTATTATTTTAATGTATAGATCGCCACAAAGAGCAATTTTAGCGGAGTCTGAAATAGAACTGAGAGTGACTAGAACAACCGTTTGCCCCCCCCCTTTAGGTAAACCACAATTTATTTTAAAATTCCTTGATATTTCCTGGTTTTGATGACCCCGAGAATCCTGTATATAATGAAATATTTCTTCTTATTATTAAAGTTATGAAATATTAGGAAAATTAAATATGATTAAATATCTAGAAAAGCGCAATATACATTATTACAAACGATGGAATGATTTATGAACGTCGTGAAATGTAAGAAATTGATTAATTTACAATCATATTACCGGGCTCAACTTTTTTTGTACCCATAATTCATGTAATTTCTGTTACAGATATTCCCTTATCATCAGCCATATTAATGTTGCTGGACCTTCCTCTGGTGACCACACGGGGTCGCTGTATACTGCGTTATGCGTGTGATTTATTCAGCTGATGCTTTTAATTTCGTTTTTCTTTTTAGTGCTCTTTAGTTGTGGCCATGTTCATCGTCCATTGACTCATTAATTAATGTGTGGCCACCTTTGTCTCAGAATGCTTAGATCACTGGCACAAGTGAAATTTCGGTTTGTTCTTACTTTAAAACACATCGAGATCAATCTATGCCTAGATATGTTGCCTCGTCAGCGGCGGGTGGAGGCGCTGTGTCACCGGATGTAGTTTGTGGCGCGCACGGGACTGAAATTTACTTCATAAACTGGGGCAAGTTCAAGCTCAAACCGGTGTGCACCGTTTTGCTACGGTTTCCGGTTTGAACGACATGTTTCCTGGAAACGGTGTGCAACGGTGTGCAACAGGGTTTGAGATGCGTTTTCTCTTGTTTGGTGGGTGTGTCAAACATGCCAGCCCAATCAGCAGCAACATGTATGTAAAGAGACAGCTCGCACAATGTAATTAGCATCCAAATAAATTCACAAGAGCAAGTATATTGTTTGCACATGTTTATTTACATTAAAGGCAAAATAACTGAAATAATAAGAGCACAAGTATAGATCTGGAACTTCTTCAAGTCTGTCTAAATATCATTTAGTAATTGCAATGTCTTCTGGTC